TTTAGTCTTGTCACATAGAGCCAGGATCGTCTGCAGCCAGTAATTTATGAAGCCATTTTCTCTCTTTACTGTTAAACTATTGCGCTCGGCGCCAATGCTCAACAACACGCATAGTATCACCCAGAAGAAAGATTCCAAGTCATCCGCAAATGTATGAAGTATGGGTTCATCATCATCCCACGCGTTCAGCAAGCGCATAGAAATGAAAGGGAGTGTTCCCTGAAATGATTTTAAGACTAAATAACAGGCTAGCCCGAAGATGAGCTACTTACCGAACGACGTTGCTCAAGCTCGCGATCTAGCTCTCGCCATCTGATTGCCTGGTCACCGTCATTGCTCACGCTCACGCATTTTGTCAAGTTCTTGGTGCATTCGAACCTAGAATACTTTAACATCAATACCGCTTTGAGCTCATTATCAATTTAAGAGGACTTACCGTGTTAGAGGCTTTCGTATTTGGGGCACTGGAAACAATAGAACGTTACCATCGCTGACATCGCGGTGCAGCCATCCATCCTTATACATATTATAGTGACCTAGAAAGGGAGCATCAGTCCTGAGCGACGTCAAAACGGGCAATACTCACCCATCATTCCGTGGAAGATGCCTTCTAAGAATTCGTACGGCCCCACAGCCGTGTGGAGCTTACGGTACTCTGTTTTCGATATCAGCCGCTTGTGTATTCTGTTCTCCATCTTCTTGCCTTCCTTGTGTTCTTCCTTCTCAGATTGTGTTTTCTTCCCCCGGTATATTATTTCCTCCTGATCAAATATTTTTCGAATCTCCTCCTCAACCCATGCTCCCTTTTTTCCATGTTTAACCCTATACTGGGCGTAAACTTCAGGTATTCCCATCTCTCCTTGAATGTCACGAAAAACTTCCATCTCGTCACGGCCCTCCAAAGCCCATGCGTCTTTCAGGACAATGGAAAGCGGCGGAGGAAGGAGGTCGAGTTCAGGGATGGGTGAAGGTTGGTAAGTGGGGAAAACGGGGGATTCATCGTTGCGATCAATTCCTTGCCATTCAAGCTGCTT